TATTGCATGAGTTCCTTGTTTTTCAATGCAGCATAGTATTCCATTGTGCGAATATACCACAGCTTCTCTAGCCATTCGTTTGTTGATGGGCACTTAGATTGTTTCCAACTCCTTGCTATTGTGAACAAAGCTGCAATAAACATGGGTGTGCTTTTCTAAATATTTTTATTTATGTTAAATATTAGTCCTATGAAATGTAGCGACTGGGGGGAAAATGTAAAACAGAGTAAGACATGTTAGAGGAGAATGATTGTTTATTGGACATTAATGAATAATGCCCTAAAGGTTTTGAGTAGAACTTTTTTATATGGCAAAAGCAAGAAATATAAAGGAGCATTACACATTTTTAAAAGAAACTAACCAGGAAATTTATTTCCTAGATATATTTAGATAGATGTAAATAGGCAAAATTATTCTTTCCTACTTGTAAATATCTTTCAAATTATTGTTGTTAGGTGCTGTTCAGCCGCTTCTAACTCACAGCAACCCTGTGTTGTTCAGAACAAAACAGTCTTGGGCAGTCCTCACAGCTGTTGTAGTCAGTGGGTCAGTTCATTTTGTTGAGGGCTTTCCTCTTCTTCCTCTTTTCTGACTTTTTCCAAGCATGATGTGTTGTATCAAATACAATATTCTCTAGGTGCTGGCTTCTCCTGAAAACATGCCCAGAGTATGTGAGATAATGTTTAACCATTCTTCTTTATAAGGAGCATTCTGGTTGGGCTTGTTCTAAGACAAATGGCTCTTTTGGAATTTAATCATTGCACTTTCCAGATTAACATTATTCAATTTCTTTGATGAGGGATAGTTTCTGTATGCTTGATAACATCTGTCAACTACGTGTGACTACTGAGCACTTGAAGTGTGGCTAACATAACTAAAGAACTGATTTTTAAATTTGATTTTAATTAAACTATTAAATACCTGCATGTAACTAGTGACTACCCTATTGGATTGAGTAGTCCTAGATTTCCTTCTTATATGTTAAAATGATTTTAGATGAAAATAGTCTTATGTCTGCTTTCCCCTTAGTTTGAGTATTATTTATTGTTAAATACTTATCTATGCTCTTTTCGTCAATAAATTTACTAAAAATCTTTATTTAACTCCAGAGGGTCAGTGAAAGAGAGGCACACCCTCCATGGCATAGATTGACATAGTGACTACCGCAGTGGGCTTGAGCACGACAGAGACAATGAAGCCGGTTAGGATCAGGCAAGGCTCAGATCTCTTGTTCATAGAGTCGCTATGAGTTAGGACACTCCATGACACCTAACAATAACTGGTTTTTAAATTATTAAAGTAATAGATGTTGTTAAAATTGTTTTACTATCCCAATAGTATGTGAAGAAAGTCTTTTGGATATAATATCTTCTAAAGGTCTAGGAGTGGCATCCACTTCCTAAACAACATGCCTCTGGAAACACTATGAACTATTTATCAAAATAAATGATGATAGTTATAGAAAAATTTCAGTTCTTTGGTTCATACGGTCACTGCTCATCAACAACAGGTGACATTATTATCTTAAAGTTACAGATAACAGTTAACAGATGGTTTTATAATCATGAAAAATGCTTGTTCTTAAGTGCTGAGTGCTTACTATGCATATTAAAAGTATAAAAAATCTTATAATTTCTTGTCTGAGGAAAAAATTAATTTGCATTTTAGAAACATAATTTATATAAAATATGTACTAACTTTGGTGAAAGTGGAACGTGAATTGCTTTTTTAATATACCCTATTTGGAAGCAGGAATGGCATCCACTTCCTAAACAACATGCCTCTGGAAACTCGAGGAACTTAGAGAAACGACGATAGTTATAAAACAGGGTTCAGGTCTTTTGTTCATAGGATCACTATAAATTATGCTCAACTCTATGACAGTCAGCAGCAACAACTATTTGTTAGGGTTAGAACAAAGAAGGTGTTAATTTAGATGTAATAAACTAATATATTCTGACATTTAAACTTTTGATAGTGTAATTTTCTCCATTCTGTTTGGCTAAAAAGTAACGTATTATCTCATAATTTTCTTTTTCATTTTGGATATATTTCTAGTGGTGGTACTAAAAATATACACAGCAAAACATACAATTCAAGTATTTATACATGTGCAATTCAGTGACATTAGATTCTCCTAGTTTGTGTATTGATTCTCTCCCTACTTTTTTGTATTGTTTACCTCCATTAACACATACAGCTACCCAAGATTCTGCTAATTTTTTAAGTTAACTATTGTCACTTTGATCCCCATACAGATAATTCCTGAGAGATAACAATACTAAAAGCAGATAATTTTTTTTTTCCTTACTAATGAAGCTAACCTATTGTTTGGCTTTCAAAAGACTTTAAGGGATATTTTTGGCTTAAGGTTTAAAGTTTATCACAGTGCAGTAGTTTGAGGGGCTCATCCAAACTCTAATTCCATGGAGTTTGTAGCTTATCAGAATTTGAAATTCTATTCTGTATTTTCCTTCTTTTTATTCATTATAATTTAAAAACATTTTTACTACTTTTTAAAAATAACCAATATATTTACTGGAATGCAGTAATGTAGCAGTATATTATGAAAGTTCTTTTTCATATGTTCATCTGCCCTCTTTCCACCTCTTAAAAAACTTCCCAAAAAAACCCAACAAACAAAAAACCTCTTATCGGTTATTGTGTTTTTTCAGAGTTTCCTTATGCAAATACAAAAAGATAGAGATACTTGACCCTGTATCTTTGAAATCTGGTATTTTCTTATTTCTAATTAATGAATATTTCTAGTATTTACTCTTTTTCTGTGTGTGTGTATTCCATTGTATGGTTGCCGCGCAATTTGTTTAACTCCTCTTATTTCTAGAAATTGGGCATGATTCTAGTCTTTTAGTATTATAAATAGTGCTCAAGAAATAATCTTGCATGTATGTCATTTTGTATATGAACACGTATTTTGGAAGTATTAAAAAAAGTTGTAAGTGGGATTCTCCTCTGTAAGGGTATATTTATTTTTAATTTCTGCATCAGTGTATAAAATGGTCCTTTTCCTCAGTTTTCCTGGGGTATGTTATCAGACTTAGGGCTTTTATGTACAGTGTTTAAATACTGTTTTTCTCCTTAGAAACTTCGGGTTTTGTGGATAAACTCTTTGAAAGTCTGTACACTAAGAACTACCTTCCACCTTTGGAACCAGTTAAACATGAGCCAAAGCCTCCAGTACAAGAAAAAGAAGAAATTAAAGAAGAGGTAATACAAACTTTTGCCTTTGAGAGCTTTTCCTAGCCTTTTAGTAGTATCCCTCATAGTTGGAAATGTGCTATTTAAAAGTGATTAGTTATCTATTGAGGTTTCTGGGGTTGAGGTGTAATGCAGATCCTAGGTATCTTATCTCCTTTGATTTTGAAGAGTCAAAAAAAATTTTAGATGGAATGTTTACAGGTCTAAGAAATATTTTAAGTAGTATTGAGGAGTTCTGAGGTAAATTTATCAGTGCTGTTGAGGAAAAGAAAGGCTTCATTAACTATATGTCTTGATGAGATAGATGTAAAGTATTAATGAAACCTCAAGAGAAATCTTTAGATGACACATTTCAGTGTAAATAAATAGAGAAACCATACATAATCTTTGTAGTTAATGTAATCATAAATACCATTTGGCATTGAGAAGGGAAAAAAAATCTACTTTTGTAATATAAAACTATAATTATAGATTGTGTTCTTAGGTGCCATTGAGTTGACTGGTATTTTAGTTTTGTGAACTTTGTCGTTATGTCGTTATGTGTGTTTGAGTTTGAACCCACTCATAGCTGACCTCCAGCTGATTTTCAGAGGTAGTACATCACACACATTGCCTATCTTTCTCCCTTCAAGCAGCTCGATTTGATCCGCATGCCTGTGGGTTGTCAGCATAACTCCTTGCCACTGCAGTGCAGCTTCTTGCCACTAGGCCACCAGAGCTCCCCTGCTAAGAGTTACAAAGACAGTGACTTTGAAAAATCTTATCAGCTATATCACTGTACCACTGTGTGTGTACCACTTTGTATTTTCTAGTTCATTGCCTGACATATGAAAGTTGGTTGTGTAATGAAATGTAATGATAACAGCATAACTTCTTTGCTTTGTTTTGTGTCTGTTTTCTTTTAATGGAATAATTTCTAAGCCATAGAATTTTAAAAGTAGTAACCAAAATACTGTCTACATAAATCACTGCTGAAATTTTGTCCCATTAGAGTTCTGTATATTCACAGTGTCATTTTTCTGAAACCGTTTGGGAATAAGTTGTATGGCCCTTCAACTTTAAACATTTTAAAGTGTATTTTCTAAGAATAAGGGGTTTTTCTTAGGAAACGATAGTTCTTTTTTTTTTTTGTCAGTAAATTTAGCATTGATACTTTATTTTTATTTTTTTTAATAATTTTAATCAACATTTACAGAGAATTTGGATTTCCATTCATTCATTGCTGCACTTCTCTCCCCACCCAGCCCTCTCCCCCTGCCCCCCAGTTCGCTACTCTATTTCAAAAGTAAAAGAAAGACTCCCTCCCTGGTACACAATCCCCCCGCACCCCACCCCTCCCACCGCCCCAAGTACATTCCACTATGCAACCTTAATTGTGGACTCTTGTGATAACCATAATACCCTATCATACATTGCTTTTAAATTATTCAGTCCCTCATCTGTTTCAGTGCAGTATA